ACTAGTTTACCAGCTGATGCCACACATCGCACATAGCTACATATACCCATTTTTCGAGTACGAAAGGCTTCGCCTGTATGGTGTGTGTGGTTGGTTGGTGTACACTGTACAGGTACCACGATCCGCGATCTGCAGGTGCATGTAGGTATGTTTTGGGGGAAAAATCAGCTAACAGCGGTCTGTTAAGTCAAAGGTAAATAAAAGACCACCGACCACCATGTTTCATTTCCATAGGAGTAGTGGGCTGTAGGTTGGCTCTGGCTGCAAGAACCAGTTTTCGAGCTTTTTTCCCTCTTTTTTTTCTTTGTTTTTTGTTTTTAGCTGCAGTTTCTTCTCTGTGTGTTTTTTGTTTGGGGCGCTGTGTAAAAGTTTTTATTAAAATGTTTTAGGTGATGTTGCTGCGATTTTGTGCAGCAACAGCAACAGCAACAGCAATAGCAATAGCAAAGCCAGCCTGCTCCACCGATCCGGTGCATGAATGAAGTTCACTAAAGGGGCAGACAGCATTTTTGTACCTGTCAGGCAGCCATAGAGTCGCATATGCATATTCCATTGTATTGGGACAATGAGACAGTTGCTGCGGTGCTATCCAATCCAAGCCAATCCAAGCCAATCCAATCCACGAAATTACCATCATTGGGAGGTGTTTGCAGTCGCACACCAAGCAAATATTATCATTTTCGACCGGATGCTGTAAGACTATTTACTATTTATAATGGTTAAAGATTGCTATTTTAAATAATAAACTAACTGCCAATGATTAATGATTAAATGTTAATAGACCAATGATCAAATGATCAATTTAAAAATATCTCGTTCTTTAAAATATCAAACAATCAACTTTAACACCTTATAAAATCAGAATAATATTCTGACTCATATCTATGAGCTGCAGAAAGAGCTGTCAATGTTATAAAATATAGAAACCAGTTCGTAAAACCGTGTCTCCATTGCCAACTATACTTTTAATCTGTGGCCCATTCAAACTGCCTTAAAAATGATTAAGAAGACATGTGCTAACTGGCTATTAACACAGTGTCTTCATGGTGCTAAAACCCATGGGATGCTAACTTCGTTTTCATAATTCACCCAAAGAGAAAGTACAAGGGTTTTCAGCAAGATGTGAACATCATTAGCTCGCTTCACTGTTTCTTAACAAGTTAGGCTTCTTAACTGCGTCGTGCTTAATCCCCCAGAGCTTGAGATTAATGGAAGCTAAGCCCACGGCCTCTTTAAGCGCGGATGTACTTCTTGTTCTTTCGTTATTATAAAAAGGTAGTGGCTTGCTAAATTTATTGAGGGTTTAGATTACCATAATGTGTGTTAGCTTGGCTTTTGTCTTCCGGCTCCGTCGACACTTTTACAATTCGAATGTCCCATTTCCACGAAAATTTGATTCGTTTTGCCGATCAGATTACTCATTTCAAGTTCAAAAAATCGAATGACGATGTTTTAATATGAATATCATTACTCTCACAAAAAGTATTTTGTAAGGGCATTATTAATGTCAGAAATATTGAGTATTAAGCTTGTACACACGATAATAATAATACCTACGTTTTACTTTAATTAACAATGTGCTTATGCTCACATTTAATTACTGTGTTTTTTTATTGCTATAGTAAGACCAAGTTCAGTTACCTGTATTAAAGCTTACTTATATAAACTATTGCCAAATCAGATTAATTTAGTTTATGCTTCTTCATAAAATTAAGTATACCCAAAGAACACCGGATACAAAACGAATAAACTAAATGTGTCAGCCAAATTTGTACGGTTTCATTTCAGCCATCCTCAAAAGCTCGAATTGCTGTTTGAGCCATTTTTAAATCAGTTTACCTTCTTAAGAATTCTTACGTTTATATAAGAGACTTATAAAAACCGTAAGACAAAGTGTGGCAATAAAGTTAGGTTGTGCAATATAAGCAAAATATTCTGTATATTTAGCAAATTTCGAATTAAAAACGGGGTACGTGCGTAATTTAAACAATTTCTGTTATAGCAAATCAGTTTTAGAATTTAAGTTTCAAGTTTGAGAGAATAAATTCACATGAACATATGTTAAAAAGATGTAAAAATATATTTTATGTGCCCACTGCTTTAAAATGCATGTAGTCCAACTCCATAAGAGTATAAAAACATACAAGTCATTGGACGAATAAAAAATGTGCAACATGCTGGCTGTAAAAAATATTACGTTATCAGCAAAAAAGCAAATTAACTATTAAAAGCATATAATAAACTGGCTTTGCTCGGCGTCAAATTACTTCTGCACAGGACTGACTTCAGCAAGTTACAGTTTAACAATTATGATTGCTATTATAAATTCAAATTTCTTTTACTGCTGAATGGCGAGTCACAAGACGACTGCATTGTTCTGGCCTCTTACATGTTCGTTTTGTTTTCCAGAGGCGGTTAAATCATTCTTCGTCCACTTTAATTGCTCCACAAAGTACAACTGCATTCCAGGCACAACAACTAAAAGTAACAACGATTCGATTTGGGACCAATGCACACCAAATAACCAAAAGATGCCTTGCTGGCGGACTGAACAATCACTTTGCCCAGATCAGTTTCGGTCCGGCCAAGAAATATATATACAATATATATATATAAACCATATAGGCGAGTGTGTGTGTGTGTGTGCACAGTTGCGGTCAGAAGAAAAGTACGGAGCGGATGGTAGATTTATAAGGTGGAAATTCAATCCGGTCTCGGCGAGAACGGGGAATACATCTCCTGGATGCTCACGTTATGTGGCTTCCCACCTATGTATCCACACAGAAGGAAAAAATATTATAATATGATAACCAATTTATTAAAAACTTATTTAATATCCTTAACATACTAAGAATGCAGACTAAGATGTTAATTTAGGCGTAGTCTTCCATTTTTTGTTTTAAATAAATAATATTGATAATAATAGACAAAGATATGTAAAAATATGTATTTGCAAAAACCTGAATTTTTTATAAAAATTTAAAAATTCACTAAAGAGCAGTGGTATTTGAACTAGGTTTGGTACTTGTTCTGCTTTATGAAGTTTTATTGCGTTTCCAGAATTTAAACCTCTTCCGTAATTATTAAAAACATTAAATTTATAGAAAAAATGTAAATAATATTCTTTCTGTGTACTTACCATGTACTACCTTTCTGACCGCAGCTGTACCCTTCCCGCAGCCAGGCCATTAACATTGCTTAATTGAATTAGATTCCGAATGCAGATTATGAGTAGCATCGCATGCTCACTCCGGGACAAGCCGAGTATGGCTCGTAGTTCGCAGAGTTTAGAACGAATTACGCCGCCACTTCTCAGGCTCCTACGATACCATGCAAATGAGTCTGCTCGTAATAAAGGCACACATTTTTTAAATCCTCCTTTATGACGCACGGCATAGCACTCAGGCTCGAAAATATCAAACCCTTGGATATTACTAAACGGCATACGGTTCACTGAACCTGAAATCTAATTAGCCAACTTTCCGTACAAAAGCGGTTTTTGTAATCTAATTCGATGGCGTCAGTGGCACTTGGCGAACCACGAAACATTTCTGCAGCCAAAACGACCAGAGTAAAGACTTGTACATTGGCCATTCGATTGCATTGGATTGGATTGCGCCGGTGCGGTATTGGTATTAAAGGCCAACAATTGTGGCATGTCCTAGTGACAGCCTCGCCGCAAAATGCACAAATGCACAAAATGCCCGTGCAATAACAGCCACAAGCGACTGCGATCGTCGTGCCAGTACCAGTACACAGTACCCAGTACCAGTACCCAGTACCAGTAACGTTGGTAACGTAGAAACGTAGGAGCTGCTGCTTCATTAGTTATGCATTAAGCATACGATATGTTGTACAACCCGGCTACAATGGCCAAAAGGGTACATGGCCTTTTTAATGGGCTTTAAATTGATCGGGGTGTTGCCATTAAAGTGCAGTTTTCCCGACGTGCCCGTCATAGTTTTCCAAATGATTGGTACTTATAGCAAAGATGCACGTAATACTTCATGAGATCCGCATGAAAACTGAAGTGCTCATCTTGTTTGCCTAAAAAGCTTAGAAGTGGTAATTAAGCGATAATTTTACTAAATGCAGCTTTCTCTTCGTTCAAGCGAGTTCTTTGGTTTTTTATCTTATATAATAAAACTAAATTACATTTTTAATCCTTAAATTATATAACGATTTTTTATTAGAATAATACTTTAAGAAAACTCTTAGTAAATTTTTAAAAATGTAATAACTTAGTTTCATTTAGTTTTGAAAACATTTAAAAATCATTTGTATTTTTCAACCAACTTATTTGTGAAAGTCTTAAGAATCGTTTGTCAGAAACCTTTAACAATAAAAAAAATATTTTCTAAGAGAAATAACTACATCGTTGTTTTATCGTTATTTCAAAAACAGGGGAAAATTTTAAACCGAAACTTTTTTTGAGTTTTTTCGTGTAGGTACCTTGAGAAAAATGCAAACTAAAAATAAAACAGTTGAAAATAAAATGTAATTAATTTTGACATTAGATTTTAATGAATTTGAATGGGTAGACATTGAAGTGTAACCAAGTTTCGGTGACGCAATCGGGTGCACCTTTCCTGTTTTCCCGCATTGGGCTGCTGCAGTCAATCTTTTTGTGGGATGTCCAGCTCCCTGTTAACTGCGTGCAATTCGTGGGGGTTCGTATGTCGCTTAAAAATTTTAATTGCCTTTGCGTGTTTAGAAAACTTACACGTACGTATGTTCTGCGTAGTTTAGCAGCTGACCAAATGCCACGGCAGCTTTCTAGTCGCTGCAGGGGATATGTCTGCAGCAGTATATTGAAGTCTATTTTCACACTTCCAGCACACGATCGCTAATGCTTATCGCAGCGGATTAAAATTGAAAGGAATTTACCGAGAAAGTAATCATTTATTAATACTAACGACTCTTGCACTGCCGAAAAAGATTTAAAAAAAACAAATGTTAAAACAACACCCAAACACCCACTTGCCAAAAAAATAGCAATATTATTATTCTAACTTTAAACTCTTGTTAAACAATTTTTTCCAAAACCTACTTAGAATTTAGAAATATAAATGAAGTTAGTAGTCTATAGATTTCTGACGGATATGAAGGCGATTCTCATCCTATATTTATAACCCTGGAAGTTTAAAATTTGTTAGGAAAAATCTTTGTTAATATAAAAAAGGGTTTTACCAAAGTGGCCTGTCGAATGTTTGGCGCTGATTTGCATCTAGACGGGACCACTCACGAACTGCCTTTTTTAGCAGATCCTTGGCCGACAATTCGGAATTCTTTCGTCTGTATTTCCGTATAAAATGTATATATGCACTTGCAGAGCCCAAGGAATTTAACTCCTGTTGTGACTCCGCACAACTTTCATTTCTCGACAGAGACTTTCGGTCTTTCCGCTGACTTTTTAGAGGACTTTTTCTTTTCGGTGCGCACTTCTTGGAGCGTTGGGAGGTTTTTGCAGACTGTCTCTGACGAGCATATGGCGACATTTTACATTCTTTGAAGCTATTTTTTATAGACTGCATATCAGTTTGACGCTTGAAAGAACTTTTCCTTTCCGGGTTGCAATTCCTGTTGCTTTGTGAGGCCTTTTTCGACTCCCTCTGACGAGCATATGGCGACATTTTACATTTTTCGGAACTTTCTTTTATCGATAGCAAACCAGACGGGCAAAGTGGTCCTTTTGTTAAGATCACAGGCTCCCTCTAATATAAAAATATTATTATAAAATTTTAAAATAATTTTTCATGCATTAAAAAACGGGGTTTTAGGATATTTTCTTATTTACCACGTCAAAGGGGTTTTCTCTTATCGACAGCCCATCATCAGCTTGATCTGGCATTTTATTCAATATAACAGACTCATTCTATATATTAGTAAAATATACGGTAGTAAGAACATTACAAAAAATCGGTTTAGGTTAAATTTGTATTTACCATATTGCAGGAGCTTTCCATTTTCCACTGCCGCTCAGATGATCGAGATGGCCTTTTTTTAATGACCGCAGACTCTTTCTAATAATATACAAAATATGTAGATCTTAAAAATGTGTTTACTATATTATTGGGGCATACCTTTTTCGTCTGCCGCTCATCTTCTCCTGGTGGACTCTTTTTAACGGCCACAGACTCTTTCTATAATGAAAAAAAATTGTAAAAATATGCAACATGTTTTAAGAATGTTAAAATTTAACCATAAAATTTTACCATATTTGTAAATATATCCTTTTCTTCAAGGGATAGCTGGTTCCACTGTTTAGCTCCAAACCGAACCATGTCCTGCGGGGAAATACCGCAGAATCGCTTCTTGTATACCATTAAAAAGTTCAGGTACCCGTTATTTGTTATGTGGGCTTCTTTTTGATGCTTGTAAATTGGTTTACAATGGGCTCGTCCTCGCTTTTTTCCCGCCATTTCATAGATTTGTGTAAAACAAAAATTTGGTCTATAAATGTTCCAAAATTATGTATCAACCGTCGCCAGCAAATTCAGATTTAGACTAACTGCCATTTGAACGACACGTTCAAATAAAATGTAAAATGACATTTAAGGTAAAGGGAAATGTAACTTGTTTTTATTTGAACCTTTTTGTCTGATTTGTATTATCTTAAAAATATTTCATAAAGGAAGTTTTTAATTGTATTGAAACACAACAACATAAAATTAAAATTTTTTTAAAATTTGTGACAAAACAAAAAGACATCCCTAAGCATTTCAGAAACAATGAAAAAATCTTAATCGTCGAGTTGAAACCAAAAAACAAAGCAACCATATGATTATTACTCATTCCATAGTGTGTAAAATACCAAAATGTATAAAAAGTGAACAAAAAGTTTAAAAATATAAAATCAATTAATTATGGCTTCATGTCATGCAGTTTGCACCGCCGGACTTATACACCTCCTACTTGGTATGTTAGTTTCGCACGCTGATAGCTGTTCACCTGCTCCGGACTTGGGCCAATGGATTTTCGTGGGAGCGCTCATGCTGATGGCTACAGATATTGCAATGTATCCGGAGCGTTATATGCATTTGCCCTACGCAATTCAGTTTCTGGTGGAGGTGATCGGATGTTTGGCTATTCTCGAGTTTTTTACGATCGTGGTGTGGTGCAAGCTGGAGTCCCTGATCCATCACACTATGCGGTTGGTGTCTTTATCCTTGGGGATGAGCGATGATGGATACCTGAACTGGGAGTATTGGCTTCTGTTGATCCCTACAGCGGCACTGGCTGGCGTTTTATTTTGTTTAATGAAGATGGCTGTAATACCACTCTTCGATTTAAAGTCGGTCTATAGAAAGCAAGTAACTCAAGTACAACTGGACATGAATGTTTACACGGACCTGGCTATTAAGCAAAAACAAAGATTGAGGAGGAAGAAGTATAATTTAAAGAAATCATAAGGTCTTAAAATATTATATATTCATTAATTATAGTCAATAATTTAAGTGTTAAAATTTTAAGTGTTATCTTTAAGGCTAATGCAATAAACAGTTTATGTACACAAGTGCGATTTTAATACAGATAAATACATGAAAATCCTAAAAGATATTTTAAATACACTTTTTATACATATATAAACCAACTACAAGCTTTAACGGTTTTAACAATTTAAATCTTCAGACGTTTTGCAGCACTTGCGAATGCGCATTACAGCACTGCCGCCAAAGAACAATCGATAGGACCAAACAGTGCTGCCCAGTTTCTGAAAATATCGAATAATAAAATCGATTTAGTTCCACCTCCAGCTCTATTTGTTGATATGAACAGCTGAATAATAATCATATTTGGTTAAAAACAATTATGCGATTTAACGCAGCCGCCTTATAGCGCCCGTGCCACGCCTACTGCGATGCGATTAGACGACAACGCCAAGGTGTCGCCACGAACCCAGCAACCGAGAGCCCAAGCCAAAAGTCCGGATTCCCGATCACCGAATACCCAGTAAATTCCGGGGAAAACACATTAAAAAGATGTCGACGGAGGAACATGTGTGGCGAGCGCATGTTGTTCGCCGATTACGGGAGCGCAATCGCAAGGAATGCGACAACTTCAAGGAGATCATCGAGCAAAGTAAGAATTTGAATTCGGGTCGCCGGGGCCAGCGGAGCCCCAGTTGCCCCCGCATTGCGCACCAGTTAACCTCCGAATCATCATCGTCTCTACTTCTACACATCATCTCATGGTCACATTCTTTAATTGCCTTGCAGACAACCGCCTGATCGACCATGTGGCCCAGCTCAAGGCGGACAACCTGAAGCTCTCCGTGGAAAACGAGCAGCTCCGCAGTGCGGTGTCAACAGGTGGCAGTGGCACTGGCTCCAACGTGGCCATTGCCACCCTGGAGAAGAAGCTGCTCAGCCAGCAGGAGGAGCTCACCGATTTGCACAAGCGCAAGGGCGAGAACTCCCAGATGATTGTGGACCTCAACCAGAAGATGGAGCAGCAGAGGATAATCATTTCCGAGAAGGAGCACAGGTAGTCACCGGGGATGTTCCGGATTTCATATTCGCCAGTAAAGTTTAAAAACAAATTTACATTTCCTAGAGATTTACAGAAACCGAATACTGATAAGGGTTTAAAACCAACTTTTTAAAAACTTACGGTTTTTAAAAATTTTAGAGATTTCACAACCATAAGGTGTCAGATTGGACAACAGTTTAACTAGTTAGTTTTCCATCTTATTTTTATTTTTCATGACCAATTTCTTTCCTGTTTAAAGTTAATTTTAAAATTGAACCAAAAATATATCGATTTTTAAAATCAGTAAGATTAGAGTTCAGAAACAGAGCAGAGCTTAATCAAATTGAGTTAAAAAATAAGTTAAAAAGTAGGTAAATAAATTTTAGCCACAGTATACTTTTAATTGCTTTGAGGACTCACTTTTTAATCACGACAGGTTTGATTTTTAAATTTTTCTTTTAAAGATTTAATATCCCGCAAAAAAATAATCATAAAATCATGGCGAATTTGTAAAGTGGAACATCCTAAGTGTCAACTCATATTGACTAAAATCACTAATATATCTATTTTTTAGCCTTACTGAGCAGCAAACGAATAACAATCGATTGCGGGCTGAAGTGCAACTCCTTCACTCGAGTTTAGAAGAACTTAAGAAACTCAACAACACCATGTTGGATGAGCATACAGCGCTTCAATTGGCATTTAGCTCACTGGAGGATAAATTGAGAGGAGTACAAGTAAGTGGTCCAGTTTCTATATATATTTAAACGATCACTTCGTCTTTGATTAAGTTGACTTTAAGCAATACACATGAAAAGTAAATTCCTGTAACTGCAAAATTGAGATAGTGAAATCAATAAATTATAAGTTTAATTGTAAGTGTAAGTCAGTTAAAATGCATTAATTAAAAATTGTAGTCATAGACAACGATCAATTAGTGGGTTTTCCTAAAAGTAGGTCAGAAAATAAATAAATTTACAAACTTTTGGAATAATAAAACATTTAAATGTATTAGTGCCAAAACGTTTTCGTGAATATTCGATAACATATCATTTTTACTAGGTAATTTTCAATGATCTTATTCTGGTTATCCATTGATCGTTTAATACTAAAAATAAATTAAATCTTCAGATTTGTATTTCGAAATTGTGTACAAAATATTTTTATTGGTACTTAACCTGAGGCTTCCGAATCCAATTGAAAAAGTTAGTTTGCATGGTATTTGTTTCGTGCATGCCGATAAATATATTGCAGATGGCTCGAATGGTTATGCCTCAAATAGACACGGCAAAAGCTTGCTATCTTTTCGAATTCAATCCAGTAGCATATTAGCGTTCGACGAGGAAAACAGCTCACAACGGCGCCAAATATTTGCAAATATTCTAATTATGAAAAAGCGTCTGCTAAAAAGCTTTTCGTTCTCTTGTGATTCACAGGATGAAAATCGACGATTACTGGAACGACTAATGCAATACAAGTCAAAGGATGCCGACAAGTTGAATGAGGAAAACGAAAGCATAATAAGGTAGGTTTTTTGAAAAAAAAAAACATCGTTATAACCCTATTATCATGCAAAACATAACGTTTAATATAACTTATCTCTTCGATCATTAATATACATGTACATAAATGCATTTTAGTAACCAGATAAGTACAGAGATACATACATATAAAATGGTTAATCGCGAGGCTTATCTAATGCTTATAAAAGAGTTTGATAAAAAAAATCCATGTAAACTGTTAACAAATACATACAAAATAATCGTTATTTCTACGGATAATGTAGCTTTTTGCTTTATTTTCTTAGCATCACATTTTGAAACAGGATAAGAGATATACAGATTCATATTGGCAATAACTTTTTTTAATAAATATAATTTTCAAATAGCGCCAAAGTTTACTTTTCAATTTTACAAATAAGGGAACAAGAAATTAAAAAAATTTTCACAAGATAAGTTCGCAAGAATAGAACTCTATAAAGTGTCCTTTATAATATATAATGAAATATGAATAACAATAATAGTAACTCGCGTTATTTAGTTGCAGGGCATGTATATTAGTTATTATCTTAATACCCGATTAGAGATTGCAGTGTCCATCCACCCGACCGCTGACCACCTAGTTGAGTTAACAAAAACCACTTTATTGCCCACCCACCAAACGTCATGCAAGCAAGTTAACCAAAAAATGCGGAGCACGGGAACTACCAATACGTAAAGGTTTACGGAAAACTACACAAACTGCATGTAATGAATATTTACCAATATTTTTTACTAACACTTTAACAAACGCCAAGGAGTAGAACACGGACCATTTAGACGAATATTATCGATTGTGTCATTCATTCTGATTTGCTCCTTTTATTTTGGTTTAATATAAATGTATAACCGTTTTCGAACATATCTAGAAAAAGACTGCCGTCAATTTTCAGGAAACGTTCGGCCAAACTGAAACGTGACCTGGAAGACGCGGTCCGTGAACCCGGCTCGTCCAGCAACACCTCGACATCGCCAGGCGCCGCATCCTTGCAGCGCAACTCCAGTCCCGCCCAGTTCGTTGGCGGTCTCATCGGCGACGAGGACTTCGACGAGGCCACCATTAACGGCGCCATGGAGGCCATAGGTCTCGATGATAATGAATATATTAGCGCTCGTTTTACAGCAGGCGAGGTTTGCGACAACACCCGGGCTTCCATTGACACCCTAAAGGCCACCGGCTATCTGGGCCAGGCCAATCCGACCAAGATCCTTATGAAATTCGAGGCCCACGAAAACGAGTCGCACGCGGTGCGCTGGAGCCCCGTGGAGCGGATGGTGGCCACCGGTGGCGCAGATCGCAAGGTCAAGCTTTGGGATATTGGCAAAAGTAAGTCATTTATCACGCCATTATTATTATTTATTTTTTTTTTTTTAAATTTATGCAATACAGTGCCTCAATAAGGTATTTTAAGATAACTATTGCTGTAAGAGTTTGACTAAATGCCTTATTAATAGTATTTTCTAATGATTCATTCGTTCAAACTGTTTGAAATTGCCAAAATGTTATTATGAATATTTTTAAAATGAATTAATTAGTACAAACTTACTAATTTACAATGTGTACTTTCAGATTCCACTGAACCACGCGCAATTTTAAGCGGCAGCAGTGCAGGAATCAATTCCGTAGATTTTGATTCAACAGGTGCCTACATATTGGGCACATCCAACGATTACGGGGCCAGAGTTTGGACGGTGATGGATAATCGCTTAAGAGTAAGTAAAATGTTTATTAATTCATAAAATACGGTAGAAAAGAAATACTGCAAGCGAATATTTAGCTAAATTATTAGTCTCCTGAGTTCTGTTTTATTTAAACGAAAGCGTAGCACAGCATTTTAATAAATTAAATTAAAGAATGGGTGAAAATGTTTGTTCAGTTTGGTCGACTAGTCTACACACTAGATAATTAAATAAATACAAATTTTTGTAATTTTGAGTAAAAAAAAACTTGTTTTCTAAGAATTTAAAAATGAAATAATACAAATGGATATTTACCCAAATTAATAGTTTTATCACCGCATTTAAACAAATTAAATTAAAGAATTGGCCGACTGGTATACTCACTAGATATTAAAAAAAATGTTATATAATTTTGAGTACTGCTCTGAAAACTTTTTTGAAATTATTAGTTAAACTTATTCGCTTGAAAACAAGTATTAGCATATATAGGGCATATATATACATAAAAGAAGTAATGAGTTCGTGCTAAACGGACATACTTCGTGCAATTAGTCTTGGCCAGAATGGGCCAAACAATACTTTCCTTTTCTATTGTTGCTTTAAGTAGATTAAAAAAACGACTTCTTTGATGCCTTGATTTATAAAGAATTTTCAGCCCTCGTGATATTCTCTTTTTTCGCCTTTGTTTACTCATGTTGGGTATGTATGTACGTGTATGCACACATTCATACCAATGTCAATGTTTATAAATAAATTTTGCATGTTTGCCGCTTTCTAACTAGGAAAAAAGGCGAAAAGTAAACAAGTCAACATTACAGAGACGCTG